TATGTGTTTGGAGGGGTATATGTCGAGAAGGGTGGGGAGAAGGACGTCTCTGGAGGGAAAATGTGTTAGTTTTGTGTGGTTGGGGTTGACGTTTCGTTTTAAGTGGACGGAGGTTTATCNTGTGCTGAGTACCATGTACACAAGTATTGTATTGATTTATACTACTTTTTTAAACCATGGCTTATAATATTAAATCCCCACCACCGTTCACAAGCATGGCGTAGTCGGGTAAAGTTACTGAGAGTAGTCGGGTAGATAAAGGCTACCAGTTAATATGTACATACCTGGCCTGTCTGCCGCTTCCCGCGCTTTGTACACCGACGGACGACATCCTCAGACGGTCCGCATCTCACCTGCCTTTTCAGGTAACATCTGTACAGGTAACTCTCACTTGGTACAGGTAAAACACACACAGGTAACACACCACAAACAGTTACAGGTAACAAGCACAGGTAACCAGCCTTAACTAAGCGGCCACGTGACACGATAATACCATAAGCTAGTGGCAAATCACAGATATTTCTTACACTTGATCGCTGGACAAGCGGGTGACGATTTCGTAAATAATGCATATTCAAATTCACCGACACGTTAAACTAGACCTTGGATTGATAACTATCGGCACAAAACAAAACCTGCTAACGACAGATATTTTATTACTATAAGTATGTAAACTAGTGCCAGGTTTTATGTCTGTGATTAAAAAATGTAAATATTTAGAGTGTATTGTCTGAAGGGATTAATGCGATAAAATGCTGTAAATGAGTTATCGTTCGATTTGTTCTATTTTTGTGCTGTGTCGATGTGTGATTTTGATAACAGAATATACACACAGGGACCTGATAATTTGTTACAGCTGTATTTGGACCTAAACTAAGGTGTTAAGAGTAATTGTACACGTTTTGGGGTTCAGATCAAATTTCGTATATCATCATCATTGGGGGGGGTGGCATTTTTACCGCAAATTGATCTGAACCCCCGAAACGTGTAAAATTACTTTAAACACCTTAGGTTAGGTCCAAATATAGCTGTAACAAATTCTCAGGTCCCTGTGAGAATTACCAATGGTCCTCTTTGGCCTTTCGATTCGTTCCGTGGAAAAGTGGAAAAGTGCATTAACCAAAAGGGACATGCTGTTTGATTGTCAGGTCCAGGGAAGGATATACGCCTGACATGCAGCCCATTGCATCATTGCGACTAATAAAGTGGCTCACTCGGCAGAATCTTCTTTTCCGTGGTGTCTCCCTGGGCATCCGTCTTCATATCACTTTATGTATTGTTTTGTATGTCACGACCACGGACTTAGATAACAATTCTAATTCCGTGGTCACGACACACTACTGAGGTTACATAAAAAGCAACAGAAATACCGAAAAACTTTTGCACTTAAGGTATAGTCACAGTTCTCTGTTTTGTATCTCCATCGAAGGAGAGTTCCAATTGTTAGATATATTTTGACCTGGAGTTTATTGTCTATTTACTATATCAAAGAGTTATATATGCAAGACATATTATAATTTTCCTTTTTTACAAAACATTTCTGTCACAGAGTTTCGATCCTCAAATCTCTGGTAACAAAGGATAGAGCCTATCCACTGAGCTACTGCTCATGATATTTGTTACGCAACATTACCTGGAAAAACATCAAAACTCCTTCGAACAGCCAACATTTTTTAAACCTCATTGAAGGGAAAACACACATAGTAATTATAGATAGGTAGAAGATACAGGCAGGTGATAGTTATAGACAAATGGTAGTTATAGACAGCTGGTAGTTATATACAGGTGGAAGTTATAGACAGGTGGTAGTTATAGACAGGTGGTGATTATAGACAAGTGATAGTTATAGATAAATGGTAGTTATAGACAGGTGGTAGTTATGGACAGGTGGTAGCTATAGACAGGTGGTAGTTACAGACAGGTGGTAGCTATAGACAGGTGGTTTTATAGACAGGTGGTAGCTATAGACAGGTGGTAGTTATAGACAGGTGGTAGCTATAGACAGGTGGTAGTTATAGACAGGTGGTAGATATAGACAGGTGGTAGTTATAGACAGGTGGTAGCTATAGACAGGTGGTAGTTATAGACAGGTGGTAGCTATAGACAGGTGGTAGTTATAGACAGGTGGTAGCTATAGACAGGTGGTAGTTATAGACAGGTGGTAGCTATAGACAGGTGGTAGTTATAGACAGGTGGTAGCTATAGACAGGTGGTAGTTATAGACAGGTGGTAGATATAGACAGGTGGTAGTTATAGACAAGTGGTAGCTATAGACAGGTGGTAGTTATAGACAGGTGGTAGCTATAGACAGGTGGTAGTTATAGACAGGTGGTAGATATAGACAGGTGGTAGTTATAGACAGGTGGTAGTTATAGACAGGTGGTAGTTATAGACAGGTGGTAGTATTGACTGGGGGTGGTGATTATAGACAAGTGGTAGTTATATACAATGGTTGTTATATACAGGGAGTAGTTATAGACAGGTTGTGGTTATAGACCGGTGGTAGTTATATACAAGTGGTAGTTATAAACAGGTGGTGATTAAAGACAGGTGGTAGTTATATACAGGTGGTAGTTATAGACAAGTGGTAGTTATGGACAGGTGGTAGTTATAGACAGGTGGTAGTTATAGACAGGTGGTAGTTATAGACATGTTGTAGCTATAGACAAGTGGTAGTTATAGACAGGTGGTTGTTATAGACATGTGGTTATTATAGACAGGTGGTAGTTATAGACAGGTGGTAGCTATAGACAGGTGGTAGTTATAGACAGGTGGTAGCTATAGACAGGTGGTAATTATTGACTGGCAGTGGTAGCTATAGACAGGTAGTTGTTATAGACAAGTAGTCGTTATAGACAGGTGGTCGTTATAGACAGGTGATCGTTATAGACAGTTTACCATTTACCATGTGGCTCCATTTGATTAGCTAATGTTTATGATTTAATGATTCCCAAAGGTATTTAGCAGGGTCCTAATTAACAAGAATACATCAATTATACTTGACACAAAAGACATATATATATAGCTGTCAATAATTTCAATTCAATTCAATTTTTAAAATAAAATTTAAAAATAATAATTGTGAAATTGATGATTGTTTACAGATGATGGTAATTCTGCATCTTGTGACATCCTTGACTTGTAGTCCGACACTGCTGTCATTCTAGTCGCGAAGCCTCATTTGACGTCATCAGGTGATGGCCAGCCCTCTTCAGATGTTTCGACCCTTAATCATTACATCCTCCGGCTGGTGGGTCAGTAGTAGTGGCCAAACCACTACTCGTCTATGTCGGCTTCCACAACGGCTCTTCTCGTTTGTGCCATAGCCAGCACGATGCTCTCTCTGCAGCTTCTCCCAATCGTCTGATGGCGGTAGCTCTTGCCCTCCCAGTGACTCCTGTCGACTGTAGTGTCCTCCACTCTGACTGTGCGGGGAAACCTCCACTGGAAAGAGCCATACTGTCCATCCTCTGCTCCTGCACTTTTCCGTCAGCTCATCTTACTTGGCTTTCTTCCTCTCGTGAGCTTCCTCGCAGCATTCCTCCCTTGGTAGGGTGAGCTCTATGGCGATGAGGTGTCTGGATTGCTCTGTCCATATTACCATGTCAGGCCTCAGTGTTGTTTCCACTATTCCTGGAAACACAAGCTTCCTGTCAAGGTCAACCTTCATCTCCCATGTTGGCGCCTGTTCCAAGATGGATGAGGTGCTTCGAGGCTTCACTGTGGTTTTCTCCCCTGGTTTCACAAACTTGATACCAGCCTCGTTTGTTCTTACACCAGTTCTTTTCTTCCTTTTCTCCACTTCAAGAATATCTGCTAGGACCCGCAAGACGTTGTTGTGCCTCCATCGGTATCTACCCTGTCTTAGTGCTTCTTTGCAACCAGACAAGATATGAGCCATTATTCCTCTTCCTCCGCATAGCTTGCAGCAAGGATCCTCCGTCAATCCCCACTGATGCAGGTTAACTGGAGATGGTAGCGTGTCATACACGGATCGTAGCAGAAATGATATCCGGAAGGGCTCCATTCTCCATATTTCAGCCCATGTCAGCTTCCTCTCTGGGAGATGCTGAGTTCCACAGATTTCCCTCTCCTCCTTTCCTCCTCAATCCTTCTGATTTCTTTCTGCACCATTTGCCGTCTTTCTTGGGTATTTGCTTTCTCCCACTGCTGGAAATGAGAGAAGCCAACTCCATGTCTTCCGACGCAGGTGTTCCCGATGATATCCTTCAACTCGGGCATACAATGAAAGTGATTCAATCAATAAATTACAAAGATACAAAAAAGTAAGATTAATCGATAACTAATTAAGAGAAATGTAAAAAATACCAACGAGTAATATACAGAATACCAGAAAAACTTCGCCTGTCAAATTTTCGCCCTTTGCCGGTATAATCTGTTTTTCACAAAGTGTTATTTTCACCCTTTACTTATTATTATTTTGTTTGAAATGTTGTGTGCTTATTTTCACGGTCGTGATAAATTTCCTCTCATTATGGAGAGTGGAAAAGGCGAAATTTAAACTGCGGTGAGCATTTCGCTGTATACAGTAGTGGTTCACCAAAAAGTGGCGGTTGGTTATTCTGTATAATTAACCTATCAGTTTATTGTTCTACATCACCTTCATAACATATGCATGTATACATAACATTCAAAGTAAAGGACACAGGGACCTAAGAATCATAAAGGGCACAGGGACCTCAGAATCGTAAAGGGCCCAGGGACCTAAGAATCGTAAAGGGCACAGGAACCTAAGAATCGTAAAGGGCACAGGGACCTAAGAATCGTAAAGGGCACAGGGACCTAAGAATCGTAAAGGACACAGGGACCTAAGAATCAATTACAGCTATATTTGGACCTAAACTAATGTGTTCAGAGTAAGTTTACACATTTTAGGGGGTTTGATCAACTTACAGTAAAAGTGCCACCTCCAATGATGATATATATACGAGCAGGTGGCGTTTTAAAAGAAAGAAAGAAAAAAATTACAAATACAAATACTATAAAAGAAAACTTTTAATTTTTGACATCACAATAACAAGGGTTATGTTAATACAGAGAAAATGTAGTACATGTACATGGAAAAATATTACAGTAAGTGGAATATTGAAATATCTATTATCATAGCTTAGAACTAGTAGTAAGCAAGATCAACTCAGTACAGAATTTTGTAGAAAAAGGGGCATAACTCTGGAGAAGTGAGTTGAAATGAATAATAAATAACATACAAGTTTATTACAACAACTGCCTTGTCTGTTGATTCTATTATCATATAATCCCCTGTAAACAAAATTTCTAAACACAAGTACTTATGTTTATAAGACACTTTGATCGTGTCTATGGTCTAGTAATTTAATACATGTATATTGTTTCTGTAAAGTTGTTAAAAATCGCGGGGATTTGATTTCGCTATATAAGCGGTCACCAAAAATAGCAAGAAATAATATAACAATCTCCATGAATATTGATATATTTAAGACACAATGAAAAAGTCAGTTTACCAAATAATAAATCAACAATATGATATTGTATTTCACTTTTTTTTCACATAATGCTTGTTATTAAACACTAACAACCAAATACAAAAATACCCTTGTTTAACGAGCTAATCATTTGTACCTGGTCATGTTGCGCGAAACTATATCCCTGCGAACAAGTTCTGATTGGGACAATCGCAAAATATTAGTTCTCCAGAATTATACCACTGGCCCCAGTTGTACAGAATATATAATACAAATAGGTAAGTGATGGAGCGTCAATCCCAAGGATTCCGTAAAGGTAGGTTTCGTTTGGTTTACATGTTTCAGATGGCTAGGCCAACCATCATCAGAACCTATAATAATATATCAGAATAAATGATAACAAGTTTATATCCTAGTGATTTGTCAGTGTAATATTAACTCCAGTGGTGGTTGCTTTATAGGGAAACGATGTCATAAATTCATTGAAAAAAGAATTAAAAAAATAGAAGACTTTATTTAGGTATATAGACAAGACCTTATTTTGTTACACACATCAAAAATATATATATCATTTTATAAACCCAAAGCTAAATTATATCGTAATTTTGCTGCCATTCCATTAAACTTTCAATAAACTTGCTAAAGCTTCTTGTATAGGGTCCCAAGACCTTGTTTGAGATTCTCTATGCAAAATTTTCACAACAACTCTTAATAACAGGTGAGAAATCTTATACCTTCACAAGGATATTTACAATTGTTAACTCATTCACCCCTGAAACTTCATTATGAACTATTCCAACCTTTGAATTGGATGAGTTCAAATGTGTCTTCAGGGGTGAATGAGTTAATTGATGAGATTTCAAAAGGATGGCTGCAGTTACTTAAATAATGATGTACATAGAATTCACATTCTCACAATAAAACATTGAATGCAATGATAACAATAACTCAACACAAAAAATTATCTCCGCAATTTTCACATTTTTTTCACACTGAAGTTCAATATTCTAAATTGGGTAATATGTAAGAAAAACATTTCTCGTATGTGCAAAACCTTTTACGTTTAAGTGCGAGAATGAATCTGACAATTAATAATATCATTTAATCCGGGGATAATCCCCCTTAAACTTCAAAACAGTAACAAAAACAAAGAAATAATAGAAAAGAAAAAAAAATGATTACAGTTACACGTCAAATTCCATAACTTTGTTATGGGGTTATCAAACAGTAAAGCACTACCCCACTACAGGTAGATGTGTCCCCCTTCCTGATGGAGCCTTAAAGTGTATAGAGAGGAACTGTAGACTTTCCCAGTAACGATCTCCGAGTGACCTGGTTTTGTACGAGTTCACACAGGTGTATTTTTCCTATAATAAGTTATAGGACCAATATATTTGTTGGACATCTATAATTCAACGATTTTCATCATCAGCTGGATGAGTGAAAAGTAATGGGGGCTTGTTGTTTGCAAAAAGGGCAATAACTCTGTCAATAATTCAAGGAACTGTGTATCAGTACACGCAATATATTTCAGGTAGATAAGCAAAATGACTTTTATTATTATACAAAGGGTGCTGTAGAAGGCTTTAAAACTAATACCATTTGAAAACATGTTTTCTAGGGACAAAGAGGATTGTTTTAGTGCACATTGTAAATAAGCTGTATTCTACAAGAAAGAAAGATGGGAGATAATCAGAGCAGTGCTTTCCATTTTGTGAATCATACTCTCAATTCATGCACCCCTACATTTTTTAGATAGTGTATCAGCTAAGCCAAGTCTCGGAGGGGAGACTAGTGTAACAGCTAAGCCAAGTCTCGGAGGGGGGAGTAGTGTAACAGCTAAACCAAGTCTCGGAGGGGGGGGGGGAGGTAGTGTAACAGCTAAGCCAAGTCGCGGAGGGGGGAGTAGTGTAACAGCTAAGCCAAGCCTCGGAGGGGGGAGTAGTGTAACAGCTAAACCAAGTCTCGGAGGGGGGGGGGGGAGGTAGTGTAACAGCTAAGCCAAGTCTCGGAGGTGGGAGTAGTGTAACAGCTAAGCCAAGTCTCGGAGGGGGGAGTAGTGTAACAGCTAAACCAAGTCTCGGAGGGGGGGGGGAGAGGTAGTGTAACAGCTAAGCCAAGTCTCGGAGGGAGGAGTAGTGTAACAGCTAAGGAATTTGAGGGGGAAGACTGCCATACTGATAAGCTAGCTTTTCCAGTGATGCGGTATAACCCGGGGACCAGCTCACTAGTTCAGCAACGTCGAGCAGGGTCAGTAGTTGGATGGGTGACCGCAATCACGTTACAATTATTGACATTTAACAAATATATATAATATTACTTACATATCTACACTTAACTTTCATGACCATACAGAGGAATGAGTGAGGTAAGGGCTTTCCTTACTCTACTCAAACTATGTGTACAATTCATTAATATCACATTCTGGTTTTTACCTGAGAAACCCAATTTATACTGATATTGAGACAAATCTCATATGACTTTACGACCCTTTAAAATTGACTTTACTGTTCACAATTTTCTTTACCAACACAATTGTATAAATATATATGTAACAGAAGATAGAGAAAAGGCACAGCCAGACTGGGGTGTGAACCTGGGACCCTCCAAACTCTAGACAGACGCTCTAACCAATTGAGCTACCTGGTCCCCGGCGATCCACCCAGTCCAGTTCCGCTACATTCCTCCCTCCTTTAACAAAACTCTTCAGTCCGAGACACAAGGCTCTATACCACCATCCATGATGAGTATATTTTGTTTGGTGCCAAATCAAACAGGGGTGAAAAAATGCAGGGCCAGACCAGGTAACAAACTCGGAACTTTGAATAGACACTCTTCCAAATTAGCTACCTGGTCGCTGAAAATCGACCCAGTGCAGTTTAGCTACAGATCAAGTCAAATTTCACTGTATATTGAAAAGAATTTCCTCTGTAAGCTAAAATGCTTCACAATACTCCCATGTTAAAGCTTAAGTTATCTCTCTTTGTTAAAATGACAATTATCTCAACTTTTCTGAACTTAAATAGCATCCTTTAGTTTGGATCAGGGTTGCCTCCCTTACATCACGAGTTATCTCCTATACTTCACACCAATGTTTTGTTTGGCCTCCTAGTTAGAACCGAAGTTGCCAGCAATAAGTTGCTGGAAGTCAACGGTCAGATGGACGTGCGTAAGTCCTCGCAGAGTACGTAAGTAGTCAAAGCTACTTTTATACTGCTGACTGGAGACACCTAGTCTGTTAAACACTGCCTTAAGTCCTTCACTGCGGGCCGACTCAATGATAGCAGTATAATTGGCGTTAGCTACAGAGTGTATGTACGCTGCCTCTACCGTCCCCTGCTGCAATATCTCCTCAGCCTCATTCTCTGTTCTCTGTACCTGAACATCAATATAAAAATAAACAAATCAGGGGAGCAGGAGTGACATCATTGACAAATGTTTGTGTTACAGTATGCAATATGAGATGACCTATGACCCCGGTAGTTACAATGATGACCTATGACCCCGGTAATTACAATGATGACCTTTGATCTCTGTAACTTTGACTGTGATAAACAGTGACGCCTATACTTATAGTAGAGTTCCCACAATGGGGTCCCGTAACCATTTTTCCCGGATCAAGGTTTGAAAGTTGATTTTGGTCAGTTTGAGGGTGAACCTCGTGAAAATGTGGGATAAGTCGGCAAGACGCGAAAATTTGAAATGGCCGCCACCTGGCGTCCAGTATATCATAAAAATAAATATCTTTGCTTCTAGATGTTTGTTTTAGATGATTTTTGGGTCTAATTATATGTTTTAAGAGTCAGGGATTTCATTTTTTTTTCTATTGTATCGCTGCCAAAAACCAGAGTTGTCCATAAAATCGATGTCGATTTCGGCTACACTGGAAACGTATGAACAATAGTTGTATATGAACCGAAATGACTCAATTCAGCTACCAATATTAACACTTGGTCATAGATGTGCAATTACCCATAGAATGCAAGCCTAGCTTATGGAAACGTTATGTTGACGACATACTTGAGATAATCAAGAAGGGGTCACAGAAAGATTTGACCACACATATCAACACTATAGATGCCACTAACAACATCAAATCTACATGTCATGAAGAAACCAATGGCACAATGCCCATCCTAGACAGTCTACAGGTAAAGAAAGAAGACGGAACCGTGAAGGTATTGGTCTATAGAAAAAAAGACTCATACGGACCAATACCTCAACTTAAAATCTCTCCATCCTTTACACCAGAAGTTAGGCATCATACGCACATTGCTCAACAGATGTGATACCATAGTCACAGAACAACAGGACAAAACACAAGAGCAGAATCACATCGCTAGGGCAACGAGAACATGATTGTGCATATCCGGAATGGGCCCTAAAGCGTAAGGAGAAGAACAAAAAAAGGCCAATCAAGGATGAGAACAAAACCAAAGGTCAAGTGGTCATCCCGTATATAAAGGGTATATCCAAAACCATCAAGAGGATATATCACCATCATGGCCATGAAGCCCCACAAGACGCTTCGCAATATCCTAGTACACCCTAAGGATAAAACACCTAAAGAAAACGTCGCAGAATGCGTATACAAAATTGGATGCAAAAACTGCGACACGTCGTATATTGGAGAGACTGGAAGGCGATTTGGGGTCCGCCTTGGTGAACACCGGAAAGACACAGAAACCCAAGAAGGAAGGAAATTCACTAGATCAGAAAGAAAACAGTCGGAGTCCCGGATAAATAAACTGGCCGTGCCACACAGAAAAACCATGTGATTGACTGGGATAACTCCAAAGTTTTGGACAGAGAGAGCAATCTGTTCAAGCGGCAGATAAAGGAAGCCAACTGGATACGCCGCAGTGGGCCAGTTCTAAATCGAGATAAGGGGGCTCAAAGACTCTAGCACATCTATGACCAAGTGTTAACAAAGCGTAGCTGAATTGAGTCATTTCGGTACATATACAACAACTATTGTTCATACGTTTCCAGCGTAGCCGAAATCGACATTGATTTTATGGACAACTCCTACACATTTTACACCTTTGTGTGCATACGCTTCACTGGTTATTTGTCTGATGAAGTTGACAGTGTACATATCATACTAGTCATCAAATCGTCACATAGAAAAGAACTTCTCATAATAATATGACCTCTGTATTTCAAATAACTGTGATGACCTGCAATCTCTGTACTTCGATCGACTGATGACCTATGACCTCTGTATTTCAAATACTTGTGATGACCTGTGATTTCTGTACTTTTCATGACTGATAACCTATGACCTTTGCACTTACGATGACAAAAATAGCCTGTGACCTGTGAACTTACAATGGCGGTGATATATGAACTATGTGCTTACAATGACTGATGACCTATGACCTCTGTGCTTACAATGACTGATGACCTATGACCTCTGTGCTTACAATGACTGATGACCTATGACCTCTGTGCTTACAATGACTGATAACCTATGACCTCTGTGCTTACAATGGCTGTGGTGTTTTTCCTGACGACTTGAGCTTCCTGTTTAAGCAGCTCCGCTTCAGCTTCTTCCATAAGAATCAGGGACTGCATGTATCGTTCTTTCACGGTATTAGAGATAGCCACATTTCCAAGTTGGAAATACTTGACATCTGCAAACAGCCCCTTATCAACTGTCTCACAGGTACTGTAAGGTTTACAGCCAACAGAACAAGCTGTAAAAAAATCGGCATTTGTTAATTATAGTCTGACATGAACTGTAGGGTTACAACTGATGTCAGAGGCACACAGTGGGGAAATAGACAGGGGTCAATTATAGTCTCACATGAACTGTAGGGTTACAACTGATGTCAGAGGCACACAGTGGGGAAATAGACAGGGGTCAATTATAGTCTGACATGAACTGTAGGGTTACAACTGATGTCAGAGGCACACAGTGGGGAAATAGACAGGGGTCAATTATAGTCTGACATGAACTGTAGGGTTACAACTGATGTCAGAGGCACACAGTGGGGAAATAGACAGGGGTCAATTATAGTCTGACATGAACTGTAGGGTTACAACTGATGTCAGAGGCACACAGTGGGGAAATAGACAGGGGTCAATTATAGTCTGACATGAACTGTAGGGTTACAACTGATGTCAGAGGCACACAGTGGGGAAATAGACAGGGGTCAATTATAGTCTGACATGAACTGTAGGGTTACAACTGATGTCAGAGGCACACAGTGGGGAAATAGACAGGGGTCAATTATAGTCTGACATGAACTGTAGGGTTACAACTGATGTCAGAGGCACACAGTGGGGAAATAGACAGGGGTCAATTATAGTCTGACATGAACTGTAGGGTTACAACTGATGTCAGAGGCACACAGTGGGGAAATAGACAGGGGTCAATTATAGTCTGACATGAACTGTAGGGTTACAACTGATGTCAGAGGCACACAGTGGGGAAATAGACAGGGGTCAATTATAGTCTGACATGAACTGTAGGGTTACAACTGATGTCAGAGGCACACAGTGGGGAAATAGACAGGGGTCAATTATAGTCTGACATGAACTGTAGGGTTACAACTGATGTCAGAGGCACACAGTGGGGAAATAGACAGGGGTCAATTATAGTCTGACATGAACTGTAGGGTTACAACTGATGTCAGAGGCACACAGTGGGGAAATAGACAGGGGTCAATTATAGTCTGACATGAACTGTAGGGTTACAACTGATGTCAGAGGCACACAGTGGGGAAATAGACAGGGGTCAATTATAGTCTGACATGAACTGTAGGGTTACAACTGATGTCAGAGGCACACAGTGGGGAAATAGACAGGGGTCAATTATAGTCTGACATGAACTGTAGGGTTACAACTGATGTCAGAGGCACACAGTGGGGAAATAGACAGGGGTCAATTATAGTCTGACATGAACTGTAGGGTTACAACTGATGTCAGAGGCACACAGTGGGGAAATAGACAGGGGTCAATTATAGTCTGACATGAACTGTAGGGTTACAACTGATGTCAGAGGCACACAGTGGGGAAATAGACAGGGGTCAATTATAGTCTGACATGAACTGTAGGGTTACAACTGATGTCAGAGGCACACAGTGGGGAAATAGACAGGGGTCAATTATAGTCTGACATGAACTGTAGGGTTACAACTGATGTCAGAGGCACACAGTGGGGAAATAGACAGGGGTCAATTATAGTCTGACATGAACTGTAGGGTTACAACTGATGTCAGAGGCACACAGTGGGGAAATAGACAGGGGTCAATTATAGTCTGACATGAACTGTAGGGTTACAACTGATGTCAGAGGCACACAGTGGGGAAATAGACAGGGGTCAATTATAGTCTGACATGAACTGTAGGGTTACAACTGATGTCAGAGGCACACAGTGGGGAAATAGACAGGGGTCAATTATAGTCTGACATGAACTGTAGGGTTACAACTGATGTCAGAGGCACACAGTGGGGAAATAGACAGGGGTCAATTATAGTCTGACATGAACTGTAGGGTTACAACTGATGTCAGAGGCACACAGTGGGGAAATAGACAGGGGTCAATTATAGTCTGACATGAACTGTAGGGTTACAACTGATGTCAGAGGCACACAGTGGGGAAATAGACAGGGGTCAATTATAGTCTGACATGAACTGTAGGGTTACAACTGATGTCAGAGGCACACAGTGGGGAAATAGACAGGGGTCAATTATAGTCTGACATGAACTGTAGGGTTACAACTGATGTCAGAGGCACACAGTGGGGAAATAGACAGGGGTCAATTATAGTCTGACATGAACTGTAGGGTTACAACTGATGTCAGAGGCACACAGTGGGGAAATAGACAGGGGTCAATTATAGTCTGACATGAACTGTAGGGTTATAACTGATGTCAGAGGCACACAGTGGGGAAATAGACAGGGGTCAATTATAGTCTCACATGAACTGTAGAGTTATAATTAACTGATGTCAGAGGCACACAGTGGGGAAATAGACAGGGGTCAATTATAGTCTCACATGAACTGTAGGGTTACAACTGATGTCAGAGGCACACAGTGGGGAAATAGACAGGAGTCAATTATAGTCTGACATGAACTGTAGGGTTACAACTGATGTCAGAGGCACACAGTGGGGAAATAGACAGGAGTCAATTATAGTCTAACATGAACTGTAGGGTTATAACTGATGTCAGAGGCACACAGTGGGGAAATAGACAGGAGTCAATTATATTGAATCTAATTCATGCAAAACACTGTGGCACAAGACAGGATAAATTACATTATATTTTGATGGAGTGTACTGTTTGGCTGATCAAACACATATGTATATAAGCTTACAGCCCAACAATAACCTGAGGATTCTGAATTACTTGCCATTAACAAAAGCTGTGCAGTCCTTCCTGCAACAGGTTCCGCCCAGCCTCTCTCTGACAGCCGTGTAAAGGGTTTCCTCCAACACACGCCGGTCTGTGATCATTTGCTTTGTATTAAAAGTTGTAGTGGCACCCTGCAGACATAGCACACGAACATTTAAATCATCTTTAGGAAAACATCCAAATACTTATTACATATACGTGAAACAAAACATATGCCAGTTTTTTTCTAACTAAGTTAATACTGTATAGTGGTTGAATTTCGCGATATTCGCGCTTTGACTAATATATCTGCGAAATTCTAAACACCAGCAAAATTATCGAAAATGTTAACCACTTTTACGGACCTTATCACAACATGACGAAAACACTTAAACCCAAAGCTGTTATACAAGCTTAAATGAACTCAAATCAGATTATCACCGGACAACTGAGCAGTCCATGTAAAAACAACACTTACATATAAGTGGCCACAACATATTATTTGTGTACACAGTAGGTGATTTATTGATTACAGTTTACACCTACAAAGGTACATACACATTTGATTTTCTTTTGAGTGAAGTAACTGGCGGATAACGACGCTTGGGATCACTGTTTTCAAACGGTTTAACTGTATTTCCAGGTTTAACCCTTGAAAAGATGACATTCAAAATACTTTGCACAACCCATGAGATTTGGGTGCATAGCAAAATTTAAGCCCTGCGAATATGTACTGAATACGAAACCGCGAAATTTTGACCCCGCCAATTAGAGGCTCTATACAATAACCCTTAATTCAAAAAATATTGTTACTTTTGGATTTATGGATCTTTTGCACTCACAGCTCAATTGTTTTACACACTTGACCCCTGTGACCTTGAAAGATGAGCAATTTTATAACATCATTTATGTTGAAAACACAGCTTAATATTTTGACACATTTGACCCCTGTGACCTTGACAGTTGGTCAATATTATAACATCAATTATTTTGAAAACACAGCTTAATTGTTTTACCACATTTGACCCCTGTGACCTTGCAGGATTGGTCAATCAACATCATCACACCATTATCAGCATGCTACTGGCCAAATATGACACTAAAGCTGATCAATATTCAGAAGGAAGATGCATATAAGCTTACAGGCATCATAGCGGTGGATTGTATAGATATACAAGAGGCACAGAGAGCCTGTATCGCTCACCTGGATATCTAAGCAATCATGGCAAAATATTCTCAAAATGAGATCCAAGGGAATATGCCAGACCCCAAGGTCAATCCTTGTAGCATATCTGTATTAGATTTTTCATGCCCAGCAATTTCATGTATGGTTATGGGGTGGGGATCTCAACTGTTTCCAAGCTTTGACTCAGAAACTAGGTCCCTAGGGTTGTGGCCAGACCCCAGGATCAATTCTAATATCATGATTGCATTCGTCTCTTTTTGTCCAGCATTTGAATTTGTAGTTTTGGGGTTGGGATCTCAACCGTTTCAAAGTTATGACCCAGGGGTTAAGTCTGCAAGGGTGGGGCAGTTCCTGGGGTCAATTCTAATATCATGCCTGTATTCATCTCTTTATGTCCAACAACTGTATATATAGTTTTGGGGTTAGGATCTCAACTGTTTCAAAGTTATGACCCAGGGACTATGTCTCCAAGGGTGGGGCCATTTCCAAGTAATAAACATGTTTTGGCCCCAGCCCTTAGCCAGATTGGTCAGCCCCACCATTTGTACAATTTTGAATGAATACTTTTGAACAAATATGATTGATATCCAGTGCATAATTCTACAGAAGAAGTCGTTTGTAGTAATATAGCCAAATTCCCCGCTTTTGGCCCCGCCTCTCAGCCCTCCTGGGAGGTCAGCCACACCATTTGTACAATTTCGAATCAATGCCTTCCATGAATGCTTTTAAACAAATATGATTGATATCCAGTGCATAGTTCTACAAAAGAAATTGTTTGTAGCATTATAGCCAAATTGCCCCCTTTTGGCCCCGCCCCTCAGCCCCCTGGGGGGTCAGCCCCACCATTCGTACAATTTTGAATCCCCACCACCTAGGGATGCTTCCAGTCAAATTCAGTTAAATTCCAACCAGTGGTTAAGAAGAAGAAGTCGTTTAAAGTAATTGTTGACGTAAGTACGACAGATGACGGTCGACGGACTGTCGATGGACACCACGGTATGGCATAAGCTCACCTTGGTCCTTCGGACCCAGTGAGCTAATAATATATTTAAACTTGATGAAACAAGTTTTTACAACGGTGGATTGTACTATCGCGCTAGTGTTGCCATAGTGAAATACTGTATTAACTATCGGTAATAACTTTAGTTGGGTTTTTTGGGGAATATTTTGTTTCATTAACTGATTTAATATTTTGTTTCATTAACTGATTTTAAAGTGTTTTATGATGTTTGTCATTCAGGGTTGTGTTTTATCATCTTCAGTGTCTTGTATTCTTGAAAGAAGAAAAGATGCAACTTGATTTCATTAAGAAAAGATGAAATAAATAAAACTTAACTTGATTACCGATACAATATAATTATCTAGTCACTTAGTTTAGAAATAAATAAAAAATTCTGGGAAACACATTTCATTTGAACTTCCATTTTTGATTTTCATAGAAAATTTATCTAGCAGTGTGTTTTGAAGACAAATCAATCATGGTGTTTATTGTAGTACAGACCAATCACAGTGTTTATTATAGGACAGACCAATCACAGTGTTTATTATTGAATGTCAATAATACTATTGTGTTAGTTACTGACTTATTTAATCCGTATCAAGGTAACATGCTATTGTAACAGAATTTGACTGGGTTGATCGTCGGGACGATGTAGCTCTATTAGTTACAAGACCGTCCTCCTAAGAGTTGGGAGGGTGCCATGCTCAAATCTGGCCTGGCTGTGCATTTCTTTCTCTCCTCTCACACCATCATGGTAAAACTAGTGCAATACCTATACAGTAAAATGTATTGGTATTCAAAGAGGTAAACTGATGTTATTCATTTTAGTTTTAGTCTTAATATGATTAAATTATGAAGTTCTTGTGCTCCGTTTGTGACTTGATAATTCATCTTTATACAACTGTAGCAAGAATTTCATTAGTAGCGGAGACATCTTTATCAACTGTTAATTTCCATGCTACTCCGCCTTACCTTCACAGCGTCAGTGGCACTCGACTTCATGAGGTCTTCGTAGTAAATGTCATAGGCAGCATGTAACAGTTGAAGGTCTTCAACTCGCAGGAAATATTGAAAGTAAACAGTCACCCCCACCTCCAACTTGTCGGCCGTAAATACAGTAATGTCACTTAGTTCCACCTGTTGGGCGTCGGCTGGAAAGACTTTGAACTCGAAGTCTGGTCCTGTGAATAATCGCCCCGCTGTGTACACCTTATCTAGCACCACTGTGCCTGTAGACTTCTGACGAATGAATCCGTACTGTGGGGTAAATAATATCAAGGCTGGAATATGGTGATGTACAAAAACAGGTACAGCTTACTAAAGGGAGGTAATTTGCTAATGTAGCAGAGGTTATTAAAGGGAGATAAATCTGTTGATGTTAAACCTTTCACTAATGGGAAATGAATCTACTGAGGTTTCACAGTACAGATAGAAGATTTGGCCAGAAAAAATGGTATTTAACATATAAAAGGTAAGAATACACTTCATCGCCTTGGATAAAAAAAAATCTGATGTCTAAGATCAAAAAAAAATAATTCAGGTATGATAAGACTGTAGCACAAAGCTGAACAAATACCCCCACTCTTCTTAACCCTTTCACCACCGTAGACCACAATGGACTCATCCAGGTCAATGCATGGAAGAGTCTACTACAGTTACATAGGGGTGAAAGGGTTAAAGAAGACAGGACACTTTTACTGGCAAACATTTTAAAAATTAACTGTAATTGTCAAGAATTGTAAAAGAATTATTTCTGACAAAAGTGTTCACCACAGGCGGATCGAGGCCCTGATTTAGGTATAGCCCCTCTTTATTTGTTGTGGAGTACAATTAGTATAGGGGGAAAAAATCAAAACTTTCGAGTTCAGTATTATGTATATATCTATGCCAATGAGATAAACCTTTGATAAGTGGTTTGATATATCTCTGTTATAAGATAACATGTAATATTGTTTAATATGTATAATATAAACTTTATTTATTTTACAACATATGAAACAAGTCATTTCAACTTATATTTATCACTCTTGTTGGCCAGGATGTTAGTGTGCGGGGAGGAGGGGTCTTAGTGTGGGAGGAAACCAGAGTACCTGGAGAAAACCCATGTGGTTGGGCAGGTGACCCCATACTGCGCAACAGTAATATTGTTTTGATATGACAGATCTTTGTCTGTCTAGCTAAAGCTACCTATTTTTTTTATTTTATTTTAGAAAATGTCTGTAAGACATAAATGCCCCCGCTGCCATGTGAAATTAGTTTCAGTGTTCTATAAAAAGTTACAACCACTTTGATCTTGATACCCTGAAACATGCACACACACAAGGTACTACACTTAAAGTTGATAAGTTGATTTTATTTTAATATTCATATGTTTTTTTCTGTATGCTGTTACCATCCTGAAACACAAGGATGTCAGAGGTATACCCATACTTGACCTTTATATAAAGTTTGACCAAAATCTGTGAAAGAATGAAGTTGCCAAGTGTTTTATATAGCAACAGTGACCTTGGCCTTGACCTTGGAACCCTGAAACACAACAATGTCCGAAGTATACTCATACTTGAACTTTGCATAAAGTTTGACCAAAATCCATGAAATAATGAAGTTGCTAAGTGTTTACATTGAATCGGGACGGAATAGACATGGGCAACACTATATGNATTTGGGGGTTCATCAGGCAACTTAAAAGAAACCAAAGGTAGGCGAGCTAATAATGAAATAATAAATATGTAAGATCTACTGCTAGGCCTTTCTGCCCTCTAGGGCTTTTTCAGGCGGATTGATCCCTAGAAAGCAGAAAGGCCTAGCGGTAGATCTTACATATTTATTATTTTACTCTATCATATATATTGTTGACCAGCTAGCTAAATTGGTAAGAGTGATGGTATACCAATCTGAGGTCTAGGGTTCGAATCCTTTTCTAGTCCTGCTGATTTTTTTGGACTTAGTTCACAGGTCAGTTGTTATGTTTTGTTTATTTCATCTGTGTTATTTTTCATATACATGTAAGCCTCGCAAGGTATACTTTCCTCTTCAGCAACTATTTATCAAAGCTTACTTTTGCTGTATAAGGTTTTCACTATAAAGTTACAGATTTTGACAATGGTATGGTACAGTGGCTGATTGGGTCATTTCGTTGTTTTTTCTTTTCGAGAACTTAATTTTGTTTATTCTCCTCTTTTTGGAGCTAAAGAACGAGAATTAATTAAGGTTTGTTCATTTCGATTTTTCAGGAAAAAACCCCAAAAGAACATAATTAAGGTTTGTTGATTCTCATCTTTTCTGGGCAAAAAGACAAAACATCGAAATGGCACAAACGATACAGGATACAGCCACTGAAAAACCACCCCACCCGGGGGATCCTTCACTTAGACCTATATAGTACATACCTCATAGTACTCCAGATAGCTGAAGCTCATAGGCACCAGGATACATATAAGCAAAATGGCTATGGCTGAAACTACGATGATCGCCTTCCCATACACTGGAACCTCGCCCATCTTCGCTGCTTGTGGGTCACAGGTCAAGGGATCAGACTCTTGGAAAGGTCAAAGGTCAAGGGATCAGACTCTTGGAAAGGTCAAAGGTCAAAGATCAAGTCAAGTGATGTGGTTTTTTTTTCTTTTTTGGTATCAGAGTAAAGTCACATGGTAACAGGCATAGGGTAAATTGATCAGTCACAGGATCTGGGGAAAGTACCGTCAACAGCTAGGTCAGGTGTCTTTGGATAGGGACACTGAGTCTCTGAATTTAAAGCAATTTTGATGGGTCACAGGGAAACAGAATTGTCGGGGGTCAAGGTCACAGCTCACCAAATAGACACAGAAATCCAAACACCCTATAACAAGTAAACATCAGAGTTGTATTAGAATATCCAATGCTAGATCAAGTTTCTGAAAATATTCATATACACAAAAAGATTAAACCAAATATCAACTAGATATTGATGGTTCAACAAGATTATTAAAATTCGAGAATATGCTTTAATTATCAATTACATGACGTCACTGACGGCTCATTGCCTCTCACCTCAGTACACCCTCGAGTTCCAACACTATTTATACGTCTCTGACACAGATAATTCCCAGGTCCCTGTGTTTAGCCTGGGGTCTTTGACACAGCCAAATGTAAAAGACTGATATTCCGATTTCACTACTAAGCTCGAATAAGTAACTGCGCCATTGTTGTAGTGATCGTGGCAATATTAATGAGGATTGCGAAACACCCGAAATGGACACATATGCATTGTGATTGATAGGTAAACATTGTCACACATACCTAAATGTTTATCTATAGCTAGACAACGCCCGAAAACAATATATGTCGGTGTAGACGACCACGCATTACCTTTGAGCAAAGTTGCAGATGCTGACTGTTGGTAAGACAGTAAACTTCAATATCATCTGAATCAGTCGAGAATAATATGGCTTGGTACAGTAAATATTTCCCGTCGTCACAGAAGTCCCACGCTATAAATAGATCACACTAACCTGTATGTGACGGGTATATTGATCACAGCCGCTATAATACCCACCCTTGTTTATATAGATCGACCATTTAAGTCAGATTTCAAGACAAGAGGTCAATATGTATCATATTGTGATATTAACCATGATGTGATAATCTAAATACTGTGACAAATCTGTGATCATATGTGATATTTGTACTTGTATCATGCTTTTACCGAATAAATAGTATATTATATACACACACTGAACTAAGTCCGAGTGACAATAGTTAGCACGTATCTATCTAGAATATATGCATGAACAAATATTTCGCTCTAAAAATATTTTACGGCAAATAACCTAGCCAGGCATACAGAACGAGCTGGGGCATATCTGATAACAATGACAATTGTTTTATTCTCATAAACAATACAGTGTAGAGAATACATATATACAAATGGGTGGCAATAATACATGGTGGAACAGGATGGGCATTAGTATTGTAAATTAATCATGTCATTTATATCGGTAATAAATTTAGCCAATGATGTCAATTCATGTTGTGTTACATAATTGAATAAATGTATGATATTTAAATGTGTTCGGTCTTTCATAATAATATCTGTACATATGCTTTCGCCTATTATTGAGAATTGGTTGATGTGTACATGTAAACAGATAATGAAATTCGTCGCCAATTTCTCTTAAATAACATAAACTACATAATCTATTTTCACGTGGCGAAACGGTCTCAGCTTTCCGAGACCGTCGCGTAACAATCGCTTTTTACCGGTATTTTCATTTTCCCATCAAAAATGTTATCTTGGATTTCGAATGAAAATCATATGTATTCCCAACTTTTCGTTGATCAGGTTTGCATGTTATATGTTTAGCGGCCTCTATGGCGTGTCAAACGTTTTATTGCACATATATTTACAATTATTGAATACAAATATAAAATTTCGAACATAAATTAAAAAATATTGAATATTGCAACGATTGACAAGCCATAGGCCTCCGATCGTCGCTATAAACGAAACTTGTTCAACTTTTAAAACAGATAAAGTGACTTAAATTCTTATAAGAACAACTCGGTGTATTTATAATGACGTTTTGGATGAAAAGACATTACATTTTCAGAGGGTATAAAGGCGATCTTATCTCTTTAAGAGGAGATTATCTGAGTCCGTGGCTGAACCAAAGGATTTTCTCACTAAACTCCAAGTACGGTGCTCAATTGCTACATTCCGTCATTTTTATTGATCTCTGATTGATTAGGGTGCTTGGATAATGAACGACTGTAATGAATTTTATGCTGTTAAATTTCCCATTCAAGACTATGATAATATCTGTTACGCCAACCATGTTCATATACTTAACGAACGCGTTCGCTTCGACATCTGTATGAATGGTTAAACTTAACTTTTTTTAAGTAATAATCAGACATCATAAAAAGTGCCGTGTTTGAAATATCTGTCATTGCAAGAATCGAAAAGTGACGTGGCACAGATCCCCACCCCAGGTCCGTTGCATCCTCGATATCCAGGGGTTTCGCTTACTTTCGCTCTCTACACCCCAGGAATATGTCATGGCAAAATTGAAGGCACGAAGATAGCTGTTTGATTGGTCTCAGGTTATAAAAACTGACCAATCGCTACTCTGATACCTGTCATTTGAAGATTACAAAGGAGAGTCGCCCTTCTTTAAAGCCTGTCGACTTTTACCGTTACGTGACCGCGAGATTCTTTTGATGTACATCAAAGGATCGAACTAGTCTTCAACAAGGTGGCGCACATCGAGCCTTCAATTTTGCCATGACATATTCCAGGGGTGTAGAGAGCGAACGTGAGCGTAACCCCTGGATATCGAGGATGGATCCGTTGGGGAAATAACACACATGTGCAGGCCTGGCTACGCGTGATGATGCGTTCATAGCGTGATAAATACAGTTTTTTCTGTTAGGTCCCAAGGTTAACGCCAAGGTTAATATTTCTAAATTAAAGGCACAGGGCTTTCTTGTCTTGCACACGTATTCTTTTTAATTTCCCTTCTATCGACAGGCTTTTGTTGTAGCACAATCCACTAGCATCATATAATATCGGCCGCGTTGGGACATATTTCCGCTTCAATTGCATGTTCTGGATATAAGCAGCTTAGATAAGGATATAGCATCAATTATCATCGAAGGTAAAACATATATGACGTAATTAAATCTAGAAACCGACCGAGATGAGAGAAACATGTATGAAGAGTCCAGCCTTGAACTCGACAGATGAAAGTCAGAAACGAGGCAAATAATGCTGAACCATGCTAAGCATATTATATTCTTTGTGAGACAAGTTCTCCCTCTGCAATATTCTTAGAAGTGGTGTATATATTTATTATGTGTTAAATTCCTTGGATTGCATAAAAAAAAATAAAAAAATATTCAAGTTTTATGACTGGGAATGAAAAAAAACACGGGTTGCTGCTCAAGTTGAGTAGAAGTTATTGGACCGGTGCATTTGTTTGTCAATTCCAATCGTATTTCTACATAATGTAAAGAAATGGGTGCGGTGCGCCTACCTTAATTTGACTCCTTTTTTTAATCAATTGTTTTGTGTTGTATATAGGTGCTCATCAAATTTTCTAAAGATCAATTTAATCATAACAAGTATATTATTTACAGTCACTATTTAACAAATTATGTAGAAAAAAAAACCATTTCCATTTAGATAGCATCCAACACACCGTTTGCCTCAGGAGGAACTCATTTCATCATTAAAATTGTAAAAATAAATAAATCATTTATATGTATTTAGTCTTTAAATATTATCTACACAAGTAAGTGACGACGTAATATATCATACATGTATAAGTAGCCAAAAAGCTCACATAACGAACGCACGGTCGAAGCTTCTCCTATCGGGTTGAACTTGTGACGTCACAGACGCTGAGCCAAAGGTGTGTTTTTCAGATAAATCACAATATCTCGGAAACGGAGTCAACTACGACGTTCGCACTTTCTTAGTCTTTTATTGTATAATATGAAGTATTTTCATAGCTTGATATAGAAAAACGTTCAGGGTACACATTAACTGCTATAGTCTAAGATCAGAGACGTCTCTGCTAAGATCGTCAAAGTTGTAAATGTTTCCTCAAGACCCAAATTATCTATGTAACGCCAAATTAACAAATATTCAAATAATTGAAGATAGGTACAATTAATTGAAGATGGGTACAAATAATTGAAAATAGGTACAATTGTAATTGAAGATAGCTACAATTAATTGAAGATAGGTAAAAATAATTGAAGATAGGTACAAATAATTGAAGATAGGTGCAATTAATTGAAGATATGTACAAAAAATTGAAGATAGATACAAATAATTGAAGATAGGTACAAATAATTGAAGATAGGTACAAATAATTGAAGATAGGTTCAATTCAATTATACCTATCTTTAATAATTAAAGAAAGGTACAATTATGCGTACCTATCTCCACTGAATTGAATTGAACCTATCTTCAAATGAATCAGAGACGTATATATTGATATATTATGTAATATATACGTCTCTAATTGAACTGAACCTAGGTACAAATGAATTGAACCTAGGTACAAATACAACATATTCTCAACTGAATTGAACCTACCTCCAATTGAATTGAACCTATCTTCAATTATTTGAAGATATGTAAAATTAATATATATTAAAATAATTTCACCTATCTTCAAATAATTGAAGATAGTAAAGATAGGTACAATTAAATTGAAGATAGGTTTAATTCGTCATATTTGAACCTATCTTAAATTGAATTGTACCATTGATATTCAATAGAAACACTGAGGAAAGCCAGTATAGTAGTATATATGTCCCTGGTCAGACGAACCGTGTTAATAAAACGGGACCCGAGAATTTGTTACAGCTGTATTTGGACCTTATTTAACTTAGGTGTTCAGTGTAATTTTACACGTTTAGGGGTTCAGACCAACTGAAATCGGTAAAAATACCACCCCAATGATAATTATGATATCAAATTCTCGGTTCCCTGTGTTTTAGGTCGAACAATTTCCGAGATTTATGTTTATTCTGAAGGAAAAGTTTTGTTTACACTGTAAAGTAAATGTTAACCGGGGACCATCACTTGATGTACCCGCTATGATTTAGCACGGACTTAGATAAAAAGGACCCGGTGCGAATCCGGAATATTGGCACGGTTTTTCGGTGAGAGTTGTCGGCCTTTGTTGATCATGTGACATCACAGCTTTAAACGAGGACATTGCATTTTTCATGGCGGCAATGTTGTTACAAGAACCAGTGATACAGGTGACGTACTCGGAATTATGGATGTTTTGTGGATTAATTTTGATTCATAGAGATTCGACATATATTCTTTTACTGAGAAAATTATCGACAGGCTTCAATTTCGCCCCAACCTGTCAGAAAACTCATGTTCGCTGAAGCCACTTTTTGACACAACCTGTTTCTCTGTTGTACTCGTATATTCAGGAAATGTGTGATGTTCTTCAATGACCAGAAGTCGAGAGGGGTTGCACAAGAGCTTACTAAGTTGCTTACTTTGTAAAGTTGTAAACCAGCTTAGAGTGGGATTAATAATCTCATTAATAGTTGCTATGCACACGAGTCCATTTGGTCCTGTCTGCATCGGTTCTTGCCGATGTTGTGGTACGATTTTGTTTTGTTGTGATCGTAATAATCGCAACATACATATCGTAAGCATGAATAAGAACCAGTCCGCCTGGTATATAATTACTATATCAATAATTTTGATAGGTAACTAGGTAACACCACAATTACAACGATGCATATATAGAGGGGTGGGGGAGGGGGG